ACATCATTGCAAATAATCACAGATGACAGCTGATGACATATTACATCATGATACCATGCCTAATCAGGATGAGGTCTTGTGCATAATACTGCAAGCAAGACAACTGACAAGCCACAGGGCATGCACACTTCTGAACACCCAACTTTACTATAAAAAGAAAAAAGAAAGAAGAAAAAAAAAAGTCAATGGTTAATGGTTAATGGCTGAAACAAATAAATGTGCTAGACATCAAAAGTTATATAGCACAATGGTAAAGTATTTAGAATAAAATGTGGTAGATATCAAAGATTAGAGAGCGTTACAGGATAGTGTGATTGGTTAAAGGGAAAAGAGGGGGTGCAAATGAAGTAAATGAGATTGGTTAAGAAAAGGACATACAATGACTGACTGAAAAGGATTGTATCTGTGGAGGGAAAGCTATAGGAACATTGTTTAAGGATAACTAGCAAAAGAGCCATTATGAAAACTATCGATGGGTAATCTGGGTAGCGATGGCTGTTGGAGAAGTAGCAGGAGAAGAATCCTGGGGATGAGATAAGGGGTCTGGAGAAGGTGATGAAGTATCAGGCCCACACAGGCCCGGGACAGATGGCCTGGGCCTTGGAAGGCCACTAGGGGGACACCAGCTTGGAGGCTGATATCCCCTGGCCCGCTTAGCTCCCAGTTTGCATGGCCACATATTGCTCCAAGGGATCAATTGCACTTTACATCATATGATGCCATCTGCGTACATTGGGTTAATATAAATAGAGGCATTGGCCTTTTGATCACCATGCTATAACGCTGCATCCAGAACTCATCTTCTTGCTTGTCCAGACAAGTTAGACAATATGTTTTGAATGTTTGGAACCTCTACTTTCTCATCCTGGACAAATTACCTATCTTGTTCATCTCGCCCTCTTTTGCAGATGGGCAAGCAGAACGGTCAATATGAATAACAGGGTAGTAGCTTACTTTCAAAACAATTTTGAAATTAATCTGCAGGAAAATCCACTGATGTCAAAGATTCTTGGCACTGTTTCTTTTGCAAATGATTCACTGTGGAGATTTAAGTACCATTTCCATCAACAATCTTGATAAGTTAGTCCCAATAGCAGGGGAGGGCATGAAGTATATTAGGGAAATTATGGGGTAAAACAGGCTTAAATAAGAAAAACAGCACAAAAATACATAAAAACAGCAGAGAAATCGCTAAAAATAGGGCAACGAAACTCTACGGACATTTCCACCATCTTTGAAAGTCTACGCAGTGATGCACCAAAATTTGAAAAACTCTACAGGAATCCAACCCATCTTTGTAAAATCTATGTGATTTCACACCTTCCAAACCCCTAAAATATGTCTTGACCCATAACTCAACCTAATCTATCAATTTAAATTGCCGTGACTACTGCCCAAAGGGAGGGTTAATGGGGGTTCTGCCTCCAACACCCCCCAGGACACATTCTCTTTATCTCAGTATGTACGGTACGTTAGAGCTACAATCATACTGTAAAGAATAAACCAAATACCTTTATATATCAAAACACCAAACTGTTCAACTTTCCTTCACTTCTCTCTACTGTGTGGATCACTTCATTTCTAATTATGGTATCTCTTACAGAGACTAACAATCTTGATTTGTTAGTCCTGTTAGGAGTGGAGGACATGAAGTATATCAGAGAAATTATGGATAAAACAGGCTTATATAAAAAGAATAACAATAAGAAATGTATAAAACAAAGACAAAAAATGCTTTAAATCAGTCAATTAAACTCTATAGACTGACAAAAAATTCAAAAACTCTACGGGAACCAATCCATCTTTCAGCAAAACTATACGCGAACCCTTACATGTTCCATACCCCAAAAAACGTTATGACCAATAAACCAGCCTAATGTATAAATTTCAGCTGCCTTGATAAGGCGTGCCCTTTATGCACTGCCCGAGGGGAGGGTTGATGGGGGACTCCGCCCCCCAACATCCCCAAGAAACATTCTCTTCACCTAGGTATGTATGGCAAGATAGAGCTGCATTCACACCATAAAATAATAAACCAAATACCTTTATATCCGGAACCGTCAAAATTTCATTGATTCTTTGTACCGTCTGGATTGCTTTGATATTAATAACTTTTTTCATCATTTGGAGCTCTTGATGGGCCCAGATATTATACTGGGATGGTTACTAAAGTCTCATTATTCTTCACTTTGTTGCCACTGTACAAGTCTTAAACATAATCCAAAATCAACACAACACTGGAAAAGCAACATTTCTCACCAGCGTTCTACCTCAAAATGAGCGGGCTGGTGAGGTGTCGACCTGGGTCTGGAGAAAGAAAGTGTGAAACACTCGATGTACACGATTCTAAATAAGAGTATAGTTAAATGTTAAAATACACAAATGAAGTATAATAACATTAATAAAAGACTTTAAAAGCATGAATGTGTAACAGCAGATACTGATAATTAGCCAAATGTCATTATGACAAGCACATAGTAATACGCAAACTACTTTGGAGTTCAACATTCAGTGTTTTGTTATTCCTGGCAAGGTAGAATTTGAGCGGCGCCCACACGTTATATTTTCGTCATTTAGCGGCAACTATAAGGCCACTGCAGCTTAAACTATATTCCATCCCACTGTTTTTTCTGCTCTATGAGATGGCGGTGTCCATTTCCCTCTATCTACGAGCATCTGTGTCTTTAACTTATACTCAAATTACTTTTGGCATTTGGGGCACTTAATGATCTCATATATCAAACTGTGATAGTTAAGGTCTATTTCTTCTTCATTGCCACTGTATAGTCTTAAGAATAACCCAGAATTGACGCAACACCGAAAACGACACATTTCTCACCAGCCTTCTGTCCCCAAATGGCCAGAAATTGGCACCTAGAAACACACATAAGCGCATGCACAGAAGGTTCTTCGGACCTATAAGACTACATAAATCTTAAAACATGTATATGAGGTATAACGACATTAATAAAGGTCGTTGAAAGCATAAATGTAGAACAGCAGACACTGATGATTAATAAAATATTATTTTGACAAGTGCATAGTAACAAATGAACTACTTGACACATCGCAGTTATGAGTTCTGCAGTCAGTTCAATGTCTATTCTGAATATGTAAACAAGTTGATCGACTTTGCTAAAATTGGGCTCTCACCTCTGTTCATTTATGAATAGCACCTTTGGGAAGCACTTGCACAAATATTGCCATAGAAGAAAATTGCCTTGGTTCGTATTGTTATATCATTTCGTATAGGTATTATTACCCAACTCCGCCAACATATCGCACTTCATATTGTCTGGTAATTTTATTGCCTTTTAATGATATTATCAAAGGATATTTTAGTGTTTGTCAGTTGAAGGTAAGTTAATTATGCATTAACATAGTAAATGTTTTCGGAAATTTTCTATATTACGTCCGCCGCTCTGACATCAATAATTTTGGTATTGTTGGATTCCTAGCACTGTCCACAATGCAAATATATAGGTTTTATTCCATGGAAACCCCCTATACTGACAAACTTGGCCCCGATAGCAGGGGAAAGCATAAAAGGTTCCAGGGAAAATGCGGGGTTAAATAAAACTAATAACATAACCCACAGTGAAAATAACCATGGTTATTCACATGACTTTCCATTGCAGGGCCTGTGCCCCCTGCAACCCCACTGGAGGGGGGCTGCCGCCCCCCAGCCCGAGTAAACATAGCATCCACCCACAAAGCAGGCTAGAGTGTTACACAATTATCACCGATGTCAGAGCAGCGGACATAAGATTGATAGTTACCTCGTAACATTCCCACTGAATCAACATACTAACCTTGACATAGTCAGCATTGTATACAGAGACGATTGTAGTATAATCAGGATAAACAGGGTATACCATGAACAGAAGAGCAGCGGTGTCTCGCCCTCGTCATAGGTGCCTACTCAGAAACGAACTTATGTGCGAGGTCACCTCTGCTTCCACCACAGCCTCCTCTGTCGGGGAAGAGCCTGCGAGCCTGCGGCACTCATTGATCAAGTTAGTGCCATAAAAATCTTAGGTTATTTAGTAGGTCATCGGCTCCACATCTAATTCGCTCTATCCAGCCATGAATATATATGGTGGATGCTTTATTTCCTCGGTAAGGGTTGGGTGCAGCAGCCCCCCACCAGGGGGGTTGCAGGGGGCACAGTAATGTAAAGTAATGTGAATTATCATCGTTATTTTCATATATGGTTATATAATTAGTGTTATTTAACCCCACATTTTCCCTGGAACCTTTCATGCCCTCCCCTGCTATCGGGGCCAAGTTTGTTGCTAACAGGGGGGTTTCTGCACAATAAAACTTACATAATTGCGTTGTATAGAGTGAGAGGAATCCAATGATACCAAAATTGTTGATGTCGGAGTGGCGTACGTAATATAGAAAATTACCATGTTTTCTTTCAAGTTGGTTGCATTCTAGGAAGCGAAGGTCTTGGAGGTTCCAAACGCAGCCTCACTGTCCTGTTGGTGGTCCTGACAAGTTGTCTGGAGGCACAAGACAAGGAATACCAAATGCAGCACAATGCATGGAGACACTAAATCAATGGGCATGCTGTACACCTTGAGGGCAACTAAATTCACCACATTCTTAAAATCTTGTAGTGCATTAAGCAGAAATAATGGCATTTCAAATTATTCGTTTCAATCTCCCTCCTCCCCCCCACCCCCTCGAAAAAATCCCAAATAGAACTGTCTAAAATAAAACCCTATAAAAGAAGAAAGAAGTCTAAAAAAGCCTACTGGATGCGGGAACTTGTGTGAATCATGTTGACAGAATCGGAAAACTGCTAATAAATGTAAGTCATGTCGCTGTTTGAGTTCGTCTGTTGGATTTAGTTTGCACCAAGGCAATATCTAATACACCGACCATCTCCTCCTTCTATTTTGTTTTTCTTGACCTCATAAACCCCGAATTATTATTATTATTATTATTTTGAATGCCTCCTCACCTCCTTTCCCTTCGTCAGCTGTTTTGGG